TTATTATTTTCCACCACTTAATCAGTATCTGATTCCATGATCCGTGCGTTTTTGTACCGTACATTTTTCTGCTGTATGTTGAGGTTGAATGTTGTTTTGGGTTGGGTACAAGTGTCCAGCAGCAGGATGTTGATTTTTGTTCTCAAGACTCTAACTAAAAGGTGCTTGCCAATCAATGACTACCATTTAGTTTAGTCAACTTTAGTGGCTGATTGAATATAAGTCTAATACATGTGATCAGTGCCCTTGTCAAATAGATTGGCTTTCCTCTTCTTGTCCAGATGTTAGATTTCCACCACACAACACTGACTTATACAGAGTGAGTCACAAGTCTTGGGACAAAGAATGGAACCATAGTTCATGTCAGAGGAATTCTCATGGATCTCTTGATGACATGTGTCTTTGTTGGGTACATGGTTGCGTGCATTACAGCAATCCAAGCCAGCCAGCTATCTCAGGAATCTGACAGGGTGATTAATCTGCCAGGCCAACCTCCAAGCCCATCTAGTATCTCTCACTTCTCAGGGTATATCACTGTCAATCAAGAGAATGGAAGGGCTCTTTTCTACTGGTTTTTTGAAGCTCAGTCTCAACCATCAAAGAAGCCCCTCCTCCTCTGGCTTAATGGAGGTTGCATAAATGGATATATGAGTTGGTTTACTTATCTTGTTTGTTTTTGTAGCGTTTTGAGCATGATCTAATTGGTTGACTCTGTTTTTGCTTTTAAAGGACCTGGTTGTTCATCAATAGGGTACGGTGCAGCTGTGGAGCTAGGTCCTCTTAGAGTAGGAAAAAATGGAGTTAGCCTTCACTTCAATAAATATGCTTGGAATAAAGGTTTTATATTACTTTCCTTCATCTACCTTAATTTTCTTCAGTACAATTCAATCAACTGACCTTGATAATAGGTTGTTAAGGTTAATAATGAATGAACTTTTCTTGCAGAAGCCAATCTTCTATTTGTAGAATCCCCGGTTGGAGTCGGGTTTTCTTACACCAATACATCTTCTGATCTTAATAAGTTGAATGATGGATTTGTAGGTAATTAACCATTTGCACGTGATATTTTGTCTTTTTGTTTATGATAAGGTTGAAAATTTACGGTTTCATTTCGACTTAGCTGAGGATGCCTACAATTTCCTGTTGAACTGGTTTCAGAGATATCCACAGTTCAAAACCCTAGATTTCTTCATGTCAGGAGAGAGTTATGCAGGTTGAGTTTTGGAGTTCTATTCCTCCCTTTCACATCGATGTATTGTAAATGCTCTCTCAATTATTCTTTTATCTTGCAGGTCACTACGTGCCACAACTAGCAGAACTTATCTATGATCGAAACAAGGATAGAACTAAATATCCATTAATTAATCTCAAAGGTTTTATAGTAAGTAATCTTCCACGTTTATTATGTATAGACACCTCAATGATCAGTGCCATTAGAATGTACATATTATCTTGTTTATTGCCATTAACATAATGTGAGGAGACAACATGCATGCTGCAGGTAGGGAATCCAGTAATTGATGATTACTATGATTACAATGGTTTGCTAGAATATGCTTGGACCCATTCTGTGATACCAGACCATCTCTACCTCAAAGCCAAAGAAGTGTGTGATTTCAGATTAGCTAACTGGTCTGACAAGTGCAACAATGCCATGGACAAAGTGTTTGATGAATATAATGAGATTGACATTTATAACATCTATGCTCCTAAATGCCTTATTAACAGTTCATCTTCATTTGCTGATATCAATGGCCAAAGTGTTGAAGCATTAGGCAAGGTGATTATCAAAATATGGTGGCAACAGAAACGAATTTCTTAGTGATAAATTATGATTTGATACAGCTAGCTGGTAGAATTTGACTTGGTAGAAAGTGCCCTTTCTTGCAGCTAAATTATTATGGATTAAGAAGGATGAGAATCCTGGGTGGTTATGATCCCTGTTTCTCTGTACACACAGAACAGTATTTCAACAGGGAAGATGTTCGAACATCTCTTCATGCAACTGTCAAAGAAGTAAAATGGAAGACTTGCAAGTAAGTAATGGAAGCATTGCTTTATTCGATTCTTGAAATTTCTTCATGCTATTTGCTCTTCTTGTTCCTTCTCCTTTTGTAACATAGACGTTTTCCATTTCCAGTGATTCCATCTTCAGGACATATATTTATAATGTTTCTTCTATCCTTCCTATCTACAATAAGCTCATCAAAGGTGGCCTCAAGATATGGATTTATAGGTAGGTTACCTTTTCTATGCTGCGGTGTTTTCTGCACTTAAACTAACCTTCTCCTTCTTAGACTGTTGAATTGGGGTCCTACAAATATCAATAATACAACAGTGCAAGAATAAGAGATAAAACATCGTTTAACTTTCATGGTTGCCTTTTGTTTGTGAAGATTGGTCTTGATTTTTCTTTGCAACAGTGGGGATATAGACGGCGGAGTACCCTTTATTGCTTCACGAAATAGCATTCAAACTCTTCGACTTCCTGTCATTTCTCCTTGGCTTTCCTGGTACCATCACCACCAGGTTTTATTCTCCTCCTCATTATATTAATTATCATCCAAAATCAATTGCTTTTTGAGTTTTAAAGCTCTGAGCAACCAAGCATTAACTTGGCCTGTGAAATTGCAGGTTGGAGGAAGGATAGTAGAATACGAAGGACTGACATACGTGACTGTAAGAGGGGCTGGTCACTTGGTGCCACTAAACAAACCAAGTGAGGCACTTGCCCTGATCACCTCCTTCTTGACTGGGAAACCCCTGCCTACACACAGGTACTCAAATCCCTAACTTGCAGAAATGGAACCAGTCTACTGCCCCAAAACTTGAGATATTCAAGTTTTCATGTTGTCTTCATCCTCTTATCAAGTAGATATAATAAGCCATGCCCCTTCGGAGTATTTATACTCCATATTGGTTGGCACTTGGCATTTCAAACATCAAAATCCTGAGATCAAAGTGACAATTTGGATCATTTAATTTGTGTGATTTGAATTTAGCATTATCTTTACCATGTTTTTGAAGGACCATTTGACTTTGGTTGCGTGTGAATGCATATGTTAAGCATATTCTTATTCTACAAGCATTTCTTTATCCTCAGCATATTCTATTCTTCCTGTATCTTTTCTTCCACTCATTACCAGATCATGGACAGCTGGATATCCTTTGATTTCAGAAAAATGTTCACGTTTACAGGATCACGAAAAAAAAACACAAGCAATGGAACAAATGAAAATAATTATCGTTCATTTACATCTTTAATTCCTTGCTCTTCACCAGTTTTCCTCCTTTGATCCATCAACTTTATCCTGGAAATCCGCTGTCCAAGCTCCGAACAAAGACAGTGGAATAGACCTGGACAAACCAACAAGCGTCCTGAACGTGATGAACCCAGATTGAGAATCATGCTCTTCCTCCACACAAATTTCAGTCAAATTGATCCAAATCATGAACTCCCTGGCTTTGACTCCCGTCAGGTTCTTAATCTTGTTAGGCTGAAAGTAAGCTGTGATCACAGCAGCATAGCTGATGATTGTATCTATGAAGACTATCACAGCAAATCACGAACATCATGGAGAACAGAAAGGAAAGTTAGACAACCAGAAAGGAAAGAGACAAGTACATGACCAACAAGGAAAAAACAAGGAAGCAGAAATCACAAATCGAGAGCAAAGGATTCACAAATTAAATATCAAAGCAAGCTACGGTCAAGAGATAGTAAAATCAAAATAATTAATAGAATGATTTTCCATTATAGTAAATCAAGGCCAACTGCACTAATTAAGGAGTTGAACGTTGGCTGTATGTGTATATATATTAATGTGTTGAACATATATAAGTACAGAGAAATATATACAATCTCAGTTTCTTTCTTTTAAGCATTATTAAAGTTTTTCAGTATCCTCAAACTTGTAGTATTCCTTCCTCTTCTTGTGCCGGAGCCATACAAACGCTGTGTCCTTCACGTACCCGCACTCTTCTATGTCCTCTGCCGCCCTCTTCTATGTCCTCCACCGTGAGCTGGCTGTCCGGTATTTCCGCCGGCAAGAACGTGAACTTGTCCCTGCATGTTTCGTCCCTGTAATGAACCTCTGCTTTTGCCTCGGTTGCTTCTGTCACCGGTGACATATTCCTCTTCCCTGTGAGTTGTTTTACGTGTTTACGCGTTAAAATCACTCTATTAGTCGATATAAATAATAAGTAATATAATGATAAGTGTTGAATCTATGAGGATTGGAATTAACTAAGTATTAAAATAATTAATTTAAATTTATTTGAATATTAAAAAAAATTTAATTAAAAATAATAATAATAAATAATAATTAGAATAATGTTAATCAATATAAATTATATATATATATTTTACTTTGATTGCATAATGCGATACAATCATTTTTTATTTTTTATCATATCTCATCGGTATGTCATGCGATTTGAACTCAATTCTTTATCCTATCTCATCTGTATGTCATGCGACTTGAACTCAAGATCTCTTATTTTTAACGAAATGAGATGATCATTGAGTTATTTAGATTGATGGTAATATAAATTTTATATTAATATGTTTCAAAAACTAATTTGTTAAGTGATATTACATGTGATTGTGGAATCAAGTTAATTATTCACTTGTTTATCAAATTAATCATATTTCTTTTTAATTTTAAACAAACTAATGAACATTAAATTTTATGAAACTTTTTAACTTAAGAAGGGAGGGCTCTTAGCTCTCTTTTTTTCTTCTATTATCATATGTGACACTAATTACTTTTTAATGTCATAATCTAACACAATTTATATTATTATTAATCTAATTTATACAATTTTTTCTCAAATTTATGCATAAATTACTAAATCAATTAAAAGATGATCAACCTTTTAATGCATTAAATTCAATAATATAAATTTATCATCTGAATAACTTTAATTGAAAGTATAAAAATCACAAAATTTATCTTATATTGATTAGATTATATCATAACCCTAATAAAATAAATTAATTCATAATAAAAATAGTAAAATCAGAAATTATAATTATGAATATTCGAATATCAAATAATTGATAAAATGAATCTCAGAAAAATTTTTAATCTTTTATTATTGATGATTTTACTATATTGATTTTCAAAAATACTTAAAAAATGGCTGTCACCAGTCTCCAAAACTCTCCTTTGCTTCTAAATTTGGATAAGTATTTATAAGATTTTAGAAAATTTAACAGGAATAGAGGTGGAACGCACACCTAAATAATAAGTTAGACACGAATTTTCTTAAAATTGCGCAAGGGGTCAACACCTTCAACTTTGTGCCGATACCTTCTGTTAAGCGCAGACTCAAACGACCGTGTCGGGATTTTGGCCTTCCCAGCCATTTCTCTTAATGGTAAAATGACAGTTCTGGTCCCTAACTTTTGAACTCCGCACAACTTAATCCTCAGCTTTGTGATCTTTGCAATTTGCTCTTAAGAATTATGATTTCTTCCAATTAAACCTTTTCCTACATGAAGAATGAAAATTATGTGAAATAAAATAAAATCTTATAAAACTCATCTAAATATCAATAATATCAAGACAAAAGTTTTACATTAATATTTATATAAATTCAACTTATCACGTGTTCATATAGACTACAAGGGCTGAACAAATTTTCTCTATTTTGGGTTTTTGATGGAGCAAACCGTTTTCTATTGGTTGCTTTGGAATTTTGTGGTTATTGGGATTTGAGTTGGACAAGATAAATTAGTTTATTTTGAGGGAATACAGAATTAGACATTTTATTTTAGAGTAATGGTAGGGAGAATGAAATTTTGGGATAAAAATTTAAGATCGATGACATGGTTTATACTAAATAATTAAATTAGTTGATGTATATAAATTTACATGTCTTACTAATCATTAAATAATATATAGTCTATGTTGAAGATTTCAAGTTTGAATTATGAGATGAATAAGGAGGGGTTTGGGAAGTGGAGGACTATTTCTTGTCATTTGGCCATGTACCAAAAAAATCTAAGTGAAGTTGCTCCTTTCATGGCCAAACTTACACCTAGGTCTAATTAGGCATAGATGAGAAGGAAATTAAAGAAATGGCTGGTCAGGAAGTGGCCACTAGTGTCAGATGTTGAATTGGAAAATCTCACATTAAATATATAATAAAGAAACTTATTGGTTAAATATAAAGAGGGTTATTTCTAATTGGTTTTAAGTTGGATGTAATTCTTGAATTAAGTCTACGTATACAATTTTCATATGATATTAGAAACGATTAATCAATCGATGTTAACTTAGATGTAAGCACATGTAGAATTTTCATTCCGATGGAGGATGCTGATTCAATTCCTTGGAAGATACAAAAATTTTAATATACCTTTTATTATTAGACAGAATGGGGTCTCTAAATACCGAGCTGATCTGTTGGGCATATATGCTGGAGCTGTTACTCAACTAAGCTTGTGTCTAAATTTCAATATTTTTGAAACTTTGATTGTTCATAATTAGTTTATCAATATATTTTTCACTATCTATATATCCCAAGTTAATAAAATCTATGCTTAACCAATTCACGCTAAATTGTAGAATCTCTCTCTCAGTGCTCGGTCTCTAAATACTAGATCCTAAACAACTATAAGAACTCCGAGTGTATATATTTTTCAAGATAAGACTATACAGAAAATGGATTCCACCTAAAGTTACTAAAATAAAAATGATATAGTTAATTACAATACTATATGATATTATAAGTTTTTAAAGTGATGTATCATTATGTAATTGACTCTTTTCACTTAGGGGTTTATTCGTAATATTGTATGTATTTATTTATTTATTTAATGACATGTTACACTTATTTAATGACATATCATAATTATAAACTTATAATTTTACTTGGCATTGTAATTATAGCATTGTTGTTACTAAAAGAAAGATTGTATAATGTCTAGCACAAAGTTAAGTCCATTCCATGCTTTTGAAGCTATAACATCAAGTTTGCACATACTTTATTGATATTTTGAAGAAATGAAGATGGTGGGAACTAAACTTCATGAAACTAAATTAGGGTATGTT